CCACAAAAAATTGCAGTTTCTGGAAACGTATGGTGACCGAAACTCACTAGTACTAAATCCCCAAAAATAAAAAATCCTGTTATGCCTCAAATCACAAGGTATGAAAAAACTAAAGTCTCTCTATTGGCAAAACAAACCTCTGAAATTCACGAAAAGCTATAACTATCTAGGAGTGCCATTTTCAACATCGGCAAAATTTTCCAAGGCTGCTGAACACTTTGTTCAAAAGTCAAATGTCGCAGGACCGGAGGTACGAGAGATCTTAATAAGAGGTTCGATTCGTGGGAAACCAAAATGACCCTTTTTGATTCAGTGGTCTCGTCAACTCTTCTGTATGCGGCAGAAACCTGGGGCTTGAGATATTCGGACTCAAAGGAATTGGCACAGCTGAAATTTCTCAAACTCTTATATTTCTGACCAAAATCAATTCCTAATTACATAGTTAGATTGGTTGATCAACGGTATTGTTGGTTGTTTTATAGAAAGCTATACATTTCTGTATAAGACTGTCATCACTGCCGGACCACCAGCTTCATCGAAAATGCTTGGAGAAACTGGTGGATCTTGATGCTTGGAAGCCAAATCTGTATTTTAATTGATTCTTACAACTTAAAAATATAGCCGCTTCTAATTTCGTTGAAGAATATTTTAATCGTTTTTCTGATCTAGGAATACTTATTCGAAACAAAAATGCTATTTTAACAACTGTATCCAACAATTTATACTCCAGAGACATTGTACGTGCCTACAATTCAAATTAAAGCCCTATTTGAATTTGAACTATTCGACGTATTTGTGGTTACAATTGCTCAGAACCCGAAAATTATTTAAAAATTAAAATTATTAATTTAAAATTTTTACAATATCTAAAAAAGTTACGGACGATAAGTCTTTTAAGAGTATCGGGTAGCGACCATCTAAAATTGCTCCATGGGAACATTACATACGTTATAAATACAAACGAAGTCTGCAAGTGGTGCAGCCAACTTATCAATAACGGTTTAAAGCAATTGATACTGGAGTGTTTGTTTCTGGAGACATATAGAAGGAAATACCTATATACACATATAGAGGCTGCCAAAGATGATTTATCACTGGAGTGTGTGTTGGATATAAAAAATCTTGACCAGTTGAACAAAATATTTTATTTTATTATAAGTGTTTGTGACTCTATCAATACAAGTACAAACCCTCAGCTTTAGGTCAGGCAAGTATCCATATGTCCGTGGGCCTACGTGTATTTATTTACAATCTGGGTGCCTTTTAAATATTATTATTATTAATTGTACGATTCTACATGTGCGTTGTAATACTAAGATCTCTGCTATTTGTTTTGCTTGGTTGTGTTCTGCATGGTAAATTTTCTTTAGTATACATGTATTTTTATTCATTTGTGGCATCTCATTTATGATATTTATTATATAAATATATTTATATATAAATAGTAAAAATATTTGGAATATAAAATATAGGAATATTTAAAATATGAAAATATTGGAAATGATAAAAATATTTATGATGTTTGTTATATAGAAATATTTTTGTTTTTGTCTTCTTATATTGTACTTATTTACTTATTTTCTTCTACTTATATAACTAATTCCTACTAACACTAAATGGGCGTGACTCTATAGCTACGATGTACATTAAGACAATAAAATGTTTCTATTTTATTCTAGTTGGCCCATTTATTATTAGCATAAATAATATTCGATGTTAAACTTTAAGAACAAGGATAAAATAAGCTCAAAAGGCTGATATATCGGTCCTAACCTTGATAAAATAAGGTCGCAATGCCGATATATCGGTCTTTAGAATATTGGTTTGGCTTTAGTACCAGTGGGGCAGTTGTGAGAGTAACGCAGGGTTCTCCTGGAGTTCCCTCACCTGATTTTAAATAGTGTATATAGGTATGCATGTGTTTTTGCTTAGTTTTAATTTTCTTATTTTTAGATTATTTTATTTTATTTATTGTGTATAATTTTTGATTATTATTTATTGTTATTTTCCTTCTATTTATTTGATATTTTTTGTACATATAGTGTGAATGTTATCCTACAAAACGAACAAATGGAAGCAGCATCCACCCCCACAGAGACCCCAAACCCCCACCAATATTCGATAGGAATATTAAAAATTTTCAGTTAATGTGTCATAAATTTATTAATATTGGGCTCAGAAAAATATTTATGCCAAAGCCGCACCAACGACACTAAATTAATACCTTTGGCAGCGGTGAGAGAAGAAAACGAAAAATATCCCAAATTGGAGTCTATACTTCCAAAGAGGTTACTTGGATGTTCAGCTAATGTCAAAGAGAGTCAATGGTGGGGGAATCGATATGCATATCGATCTCGATCAATGACTAGTGATGACACAGCTGTGATCTTCAAAGTGGCGCTAGGCTGGCGCAGGTGAGGTGAGACAGAAGCGGCTGGTTCGGTGCGGGTATTGTCTCTCCAGCGTAGACACTATATCTGTGAATGTTCGCTCCTGACTGCCGATGTAACAAAAAGGCACTATAGTAGGCCGGTGGGGTTGAGTTAACTGGAGCGGCTGGTGGGAAGGTGAGAGAAGATGTTCACTACATGGACCCAATATTAACGAAAGCTCGATCCAGACTGCCTTTCCGGCAGTTCTATCGCATTATTTTGATGTCTTGATCCCTAATACTGGATATTACTGCCGGACTGGAGCGTATACGCAAACGCGATAACCCATCGCAAACGAAGCCAAATATATAAACAATATACATTTCTGGGACGATTGCCCCTTGGCCTATTACAAAAAATAAATAAACATTTTTTTAATTTACATTAAAAAAGAGTAAAAATGGTGAGACAAAATAAAAATAAAAAATAAATAAAGTTATGAGTGTATGTGGCGTTAACATCACGTATGTAGAATTTCGTCCGTTGAGTGAAGTGTGTTTCAGTCAATAGAGCGATATCAATATTATTGTCATGAGAAATATGTCAAGTTCGTCACGGTGGTTATGTAGTCTATTAGTATTCCATAAAAATATAGCTAGGGGTTTTGCACTTATCATGAAAAATTAAACGGGATTTCGGTAAGGATCCTGGTGAGAAGGGTGATAAGATGTTTTATGGTCTCTTGTAAATCTAATAGAAAGTATAAAAGGATAGTAGTTATGTCAGTTGGATTTTGGTTATAGAGCGGATTTGGGTTGGGAAGTTGTGGTGGATGATCTATTTTCAAGGAGTGTTAAATGAGGGCAGGATTTGTCGTTGTGCACGAGGTAGGTCTGCATTCGAAGGTACTTGTGATGAGGGTTTTGTTTGATTATGAGGTTGGGATAGATGATGGTCCTGGGGCAGTAGTTTGACCCTTAGGTGTAGATGATGTGAAGGAATCGGTTGGGACTGAGGGTTAGGAGTGTGGATAGGTTTGGATTTGGATGTCTAAGGTCTGAGGCGTCTGTTGATGTCGAGGCTGCTAATACCTGCTCTTGTTATTTGTGTGCGATTTTCCGGAGTCCTGATGTTTGATGGCTGTTGAAGTATAAGGCTCTAGTTGTTGAGTAGTTTTTGATAGCTCAGGGAATTGTGATGAATTTTCAATTTGAGGCAGCTGGGTTGTACTTTTCTGACTCAGGTTTTGGCTTTTTAATTAAATGTTCTGTGATCGAAATTTAGCGTGATGTTTGTAAACTTTGCATCCTTTGTAGCTTGCAAGATGTTGGTCGTCGCAAAGAACACATTTCGCAGGCTGATCACGTGGTTGTTGGCAAGTGTCAGAGGCGTGTAAACCGGTCCATCTGACACACCTGTCCTGATGATGGCAGTAGGTTTTCCTGTGTCCTAAGTCTTGGCATTGAACTATCACAGTTTTTTGTCTGGGCTCCTCAAATTTCACTGTTGAATATACAAGTCTTTTCACATGGATTATTCAATGTTGTTACTGACACGCTCTAAATCAATAAACAATAACGGCAGAGGATATTTTTTCGTTGGATGTGGTACGCAGGATATGTACGTGACGTGTGACCAATTTCTTCCAGGTTTGTTTTAACAACTGAGATAGGGATAGGACAACTAAACCACTCTGCCTTTTCGTGTCTTAAATGGTAACAGTGAAAATCGTAATTATTAATGGTGGAATAGTTTATTAGTATTTTATGATTTTCTTTGGAGTTTGTATTTTTTTTTATGTCGTTGACTCTGGAAAAGACATCTAAAGTTTGTTTGTCCGATCAGATTAGTAATTTCTTGACAAAATGAGAAGAAATTATCGATTTTAGAAATCCCTCATCATCCCATCAATTTTCGCTGGATATTATTCACATTTTCCGCGGCGGACTAGTCGGACTGTGAAAAACATATTTTTATAAGTAAAAATATTTTTTACTTTTTTACATCATTCATTTTAGCTGAAAAAGTTCTAGATATGTACCAATGTTATGGAGGCCGGTTCTCTACCTCCTTCCTCCCTGTGTTTAATCTAAACAAAAACGTTATGTATTCAATTATATATTTTTTTGTTAGATATTTTCAACTATACATAATAAGTAAAACAAAAAAAAAAAATAAAAAATAAAAATCCATGTAACTAAGCAAACATATAAACATATCCCGCTTTTTTTTTTTTTTTTTTTGTTATTCGCTCTCCTCTCCCCCACTAATCAAAATCAAAAGTCTGCCCCTATGATCTGGCGTTCATCATTTCTTCTCCATATGCAATCTTAATGGATTACTTATGTTACTTGGGAACAGTATACCTCCAATCGCAAGTCCATGTGCAGTCGCAAAGCTTACAAGTCAATGTCCATATTATCAATTATTTTATGGATGCCGAACTTCGCTATAGTTTGCTGATATCTTGATTCCTCCCAGACTTGAGAATAAAAATCATTTAGGAGTAGTTTTGTATCATGTAGATAAAATTAGTCAAAGATATATTCTAATACTTTATTTATTTTTTAATTTATATACATCGAAATATTTATTTATTCATTAAAAAACAGTAAATTTATTTTTCAGATTTTATCAGATATTGATAATGAATACATCGACTTTGTCTGGCCTCATGGGTATGTCCTGAAAATCATGAATTCAATGGATTCAAAACATGAAAACTTTGTAAGAGCTCAGCACGCATTGATGGAACATTTAAGTAAGAAAATTGTATTTTATAAACATGCTTATTATTATTTTATTATATATTTTTGTATGTTGGTGTTACAAACTTTGTCGATCTTGTAATGTACTTATTTGGAAAATTTAAAAATTTATGTATTGAATTAATCATATGTTAATGCTGTTGATTGCTTTTGTAATGTTATTAAAATACAGGTTGTTATAAAAATGTGATTATGTGTATTAATCATACGTCATAAGTAAGGATACAATAGTTGGCGACGAAGTGAAAAGTTCGAAATTTCTGATGCTAAAGTATTTATAGTCATCTGTTTCAACACCCACTTAAATCCGGTCTTTATTATTTATTTAATTTTCAAAATAGTTCAATTTCTAACCCAAACTATGGATGCAGATCAATTCAAGAAAATATTACAGGTATTCAATCAATAACAACAAGCTATGATTCACCAACTTGTTACCAGTCTTCCTCCGGGTATGATAAATAATTCAGATTCTTTACATATTCAGCCATTAGAAAATTTCGATTCGACTAAAGAAAAATATTCTTGTTATGTAGACCGTTTCGAAAGCTATTTAGACATGAAAAATATTCAAGATTGTGTCTCGATTGCAATATTGATCATTAGTGATCCTTATCTTATGTGTTACCTTCTTAGTTTATTCAGTTCATTATAATCAAGATGGCAAAGTCTAATAATTTTTTTTTTTCAATAAATAAGTTTATTAGTAGTTTGTGTTTTACTGATAAAGCACCAATCTAGACCTAACAAAGTGGCGACGAGGATAAAGACAGAGAAAGTTTATATTATAATGTAAAATTTTATAGTCATCGTGGAACAATGGACGCTACTCAATTCACCCAGTTTTGCAGACTTCAACAACAGCAATTCTCCACAATTTTAGAAAAATTCTCGTCCATACATCAAAATTCTTCTTCAATACTTCCTCAACATAATGTAAGTAAATTTGATAATTTTAATAAAAATACGGAAACAAAACAAAAAAACAACTTCCTTGTCCTAAAAGGCTTAGCATCGGCCAAGGCCTTATCAAAAACGATTCTTTTAAATATCATTGGCGCTGAATATTTCGAGTTGCTCAAGCTATCAATAGCCCAAAAGAATTTAATACATTAGCATTTGTTGAAATCATTACAACGCTTGACGATCAACTGACAGAAAAAAAAATTAGTTAAAAGATACAAATTACTGTCACAAAAACAAGCAACTAACCAATCTATCCAAGATTTTGTCACATAATTACGAAAATTCGTTCCTGCATGCAGTTTTAAATGTGAATGTGAAAAGTCTGTGGAAGATTTTTGTTTTCACTCCCTGTTCTTCAGAGGTTTCACTAACCAAAGATTAAGCACCAATCTAGACGTAACAAAGATGATCATAAAAAGACACAAATTTTAACTATTAGAAAAGGGCCAAAATATTATAATGAACTAACAGCATTTCATGGACCGAAGACGTCGATTAAGTCATGGTGCTATACGAGATTAATCAAGTTATTTTCTCAATTATTAACTATAAAAAAAAAGGTTCAACATTATTTTTTTAATATTTACCAAGGGGACCAAACCATGTCATAGTTTAAAGCTGCATTTAGACGTGATTTAGCTAAGGTTCACAGTACAGTGCTCATGAAAACGTCAATTGTCGGTCACAGTGCCCAGTTCATAACAGGACTCCGTGATGATTGGATTCGGGAGCAATTGTTGCAGTAAACTGTTACCAGATTCGAAGAAATGTTTATAAAAGCCTTGGTCTTGGAGGCCTCGCGTCTGTTTCGGATGTGCAAAGCCTAATCATGGAGGGTCGGACTGCAGGATAAAATTCAAGATTTTTATTGTAAAGCGTGAGGAAGAGAGAGCCATAAAGAGAGGGCCAGTATGCATTACAAGTCGTATGAAAAATTCATATAAAGTGAGACCCAGTTAGGCTAATTCACTCTTCACTACAGTCCACGATTCACAGCCAGACCATACCTATGACGTGAACAATGTGCAACAACTCTCCAGTATGTTGTCTAACATCGTAGATTTATTTGAAATAGTCCCAGATTCCGACAAATATATATGTATATATATATATATATATATATATATATATATATATATAAAAACCCCTGCCCTCCAGTTTATATTGACAACAATCAAATTCCTCAAACGTACACGGTACTTTACCTGGGACTCACCTTCGACAGAAGGAATATATATATATATATGTATATTACCTAAATGATCAACCCATTACCTTCTACTCCTCTGTTTCTGTTCCTAAGTTTCTTCATTGATCAAACTCTCTCATGGAATTACCACATTTCCCACATCGCTCGACGATCAATTTCCACTCTCAAATTATTCCATCGCTTCCGCCATCTTCTACTCAAACCTACCCGGAGACTCTTATCGTCCCCCACTTTTACTACGGCTGCGTGGTGTACAGCGGTCTCACAGTGGGTCTCGGTGACAGACTGAGGAGTTTTATGAATAGCTTTGTCAGATTTGTCATTGGGACCCCGAGATGTTCCCGTTTCTCCCACCACTACGTCGAGTTAGAGTGGCTCTTCTTTTCCTTCCGTAGACAATATTTCCTTTAATTTATTTTCATTAATTTATCAAATTATCAACAGTCGTCGCCCCTCCTATACCTATAATCTTCACCAATTCAAGTCCTCTATCCACTCTTTCACCACAAGATCCCGACCATCTGAAGTTTATACTCATTTTTACAGATCTGCCTCTTTTCAAAATTCCTTCGTAGTCCGCTCTACTTCATTCTGGAATTTCTTACCTCTAAAAATTCGACATGCTCCGTCCCTATCCACTTTTAAAACCCTCCTATTCCTACTTCTTTTCTCACAACAGTCAGAAAAAGGCTGACCACATATTAAGTAATAATGTAAAAAACAGTATTTTTTATCTTAATTTATTTGTTTTTGTTTGTACTTATTACTTATGATCTTTTATACATAATATATGCATGTATATGTATATATATATTTTTTCACACCATTTTTCATTTGACAACACGATTTATGTATATATTTCGGTGTATGTGTATTTATATGTACATTACATTAGTGTTTATACATTTCAAATTAAATTGAAATTTTTTTTTATTCATAGGAGATTTGTTGCTCGTTTGTTGGAGGACCATATTTTGTATTCTACTGTTGTTGTTTTTTTTTAATATAGTTCTTTTGATTATTAAATTCATTAAGCTTTTTAACTATGCAGCGATTATTTTGTTTTATGGCCTTTTTAATTTCTTATTTGTATTATATAAAATTAAAGTATTTTTTTTATTTATATGATATTTACAACTGTATACAAAAAATACATCTGGTAAATTCGCACATGGATATAATGACATGAAACACATGTTGAGAAACTACCCATTGGTAGCACTCTAATAATATGTCTATATTAGGAGATCACGTGGCCATCTTCTTTTCAGACGCCTCAGAGGATTATCAGGAATTGAATAGGAAGCAAGGTTAGAAACAAGAGGGTTGGGATGGTTATGAAGTTTATTATGGAAAGACAGATATCTGAATTGGGCCAAATCTGATACATAAGGAACATTAAGGTCATTATGGATGATTTTATTTGTAACAAAGTAAGGAGCCTTGAGGATTTTACGAAGGATTTTGGATTGTAAGGATTGGATGCGAGAGGAATTTGAAGGTTTGGTGGAGCCCCATAGCTCAACTCCGTAAGTCCAAATAGACCTTATTATAGTCATGTAAATTAGTCTTTTATAGTTAATTGTAAGGTTATAGCGTTTGTCTAGTAAGTGTTGAAGTAGTCGGAAATGTCGAGCTGTTTTTTGTCGTTTCAGTCTGGTATGAGGATTCCAAGTTAGACGTTTGTCCAGATGGAGTCCTAGGTAACGGATTTGTTCAACAGGAATAAGTGAGATTTTGTTAAAGGATACTGAAGGACAGGAAGTCATTGGTTTACGACGAAGGGTAAAGGTAATTTGATGGGATTTGTTGGAATTTATTTTAATTCTCCAGTTCTGATACCATTCTTCAAGGTTTATTATGTGGGATTGAAGGGTTTGGGATGCAATAGATGGGTCGTTATTAACTGATAGGATACATGTGTCATCAGCATATGTGGTGATGACAGTGTTGGGATGGGTTGGGATGTCAGCTGTATAAACTGTGTAAAGGATAGGACCTAGGATCACCTGCAGACTGGGAAAAGAGGGATGTATAGACATTGTTGTGATTTACTTTAAAGTATCTATCAGTAAGGTAGGAACGGATAATGAGGAAGTATGTAGATGGTAGGAATTTTCGGAGTTTGTACATATATAATTAAAGTATTTTGTAAATAGTCTCACTGGTTTGATTTGTATATATAGTTTATTTAAGTAAAGCTTTTTATCAAGCTACTTTTTTTTTTTAAAGTAACTAGGTTTCTGGTCAGATGTTATTCTTTTTTTTCTGTAATATTCTGTCATTCTTAAGGGACTTTGTCCCAGAATAAAATTATTTTCTATTTCTCTCTCTCTCTCTCTCTCTCTCTCTCTCTATATATATATATATATATATATATATATATATATATATATATATATATATTGTTCCAGCTCGATAACAAATAACAGACTCCAACATTTTAAAGTGGATTCTGGAGCTCGTTACACCCTTCTGTCAGGCAACGAATATGACCGATTAAATTTGAATTCACCAATAAAACCATCGAACATAGCGTTTCGTTTTTATTCTGGAAACGTAATTAGTCCAAAGGGAGTAGTTACTGTAAAAGTATCATATAAAAATTAAGAAAGTGAAGAAGATCTTTATATCGTTCCGAAGGAATATGCATTGTTTGGAAAACTTAGGATCATTTTTATAAAGATTGTGCGGATTCGATTTTCGTGTTAACCCCGCCAATGGGATTTTCTGGAAACAAAAGTGGAATATTTTGGGCAAATTATCGAATATAATACTATTCACAAATCTCCAGAAAAGGTCACGGCTGTTCAATAAATGCCTTGCCCTACAAATTTTTATGAACTTATTACATATTCATTCCAGATTTTTCAACATGCTCTTACCCTCTTAGGCGTTTGCTCCGTAAGGGCAGACGTTTTGTTTGGACTTCAGCCTGCGAGAAAACATTTCTTTAGCTCAAAGATGAATTGTGCAGCGACAGAATTTTAACTACATATAATCCAGCTTTGCCGGTGACTACCGATGCGAGCCCATTCGGAGTTGCAGCAGTTCTCAGCCATTTCGACAAGGGAGAAGAAAAACCTTCAGCTACTCTTCACATTCTTTGACTGCTGCGGAATAAAACTACGGTCAGTTGGACAGGGAAGAACTTGCTATAATCTTCGGGGTAAGCCATTTTTACAAATATCCATTTGGGAAACACTTCATTCTGGTGATGGACAATGAACCATTGACACGAATTTTTTAACATAACAGGGCTTTACTGCAAATTTGGCACCCGCCCAAATACTGGGTTATACATCGTTTTCATCGGAAGTTGACTACACTGTTCAGTATAAGAAGAGCGTTGATAACACGAACGTAGACCGTCTATCCAGAGCTCATTCGAACGACACATGCAAACTGATAGATATCTTAGTTAGCAATAAGTTAGGCCAACTTCTTTTTCAAACAATCTTCCGAATTTCAAGTGATAAAATTACATAGAAAACCATCCAAGAAAGAGGAAAAGACTTAGAAATGACAAGGCTTATCAGAGAACCAAAGTGTGTAGTAGTAAATGGTCTTCCAATTCTGAATTTACCTTACACGAATATCTGGTGTTCTGACCAAGTTTTTTATACCAACACCACTACGTCACCACGTTTTTCTAGAGCTCCATAAAACACACCTCGGGATCGTGAAGATGAAGCAGTTAGCTCGTCGGTACATCTACTGGTCAGGTATTGACCGGGATATTGAAAGACTTGTTCGTGGATGAGATTGACTTATTCGAAAAAGTGTGCTTTGAATTCATCAAGCCCAGAGGAAGCACCACTTCACCCCTGGGATTAACCCTGTAATAACTGGGAAAGGATGCACATTAACTATGCTGGCCCCTTCGATAATTACCACTTTTTAATCTGTATTGATGCCAAATCTAAGTGGGCAGAAGTAAAAGTTTTGAAAAACTCACCTACCAGTTCTTCGACGGTATGGTTGGTAAACGACATCTTCGATTCCCACGGATTCTACAATTTTCATGCAGCAGATAATGCTAAAATTTTTTAAGTTCCATTTACTCTGCACAGCTAATGACATTCTACAGAAGTTCGTCGCTACTGGACACACCACTACAAATGGCTTGGCCGAACATCACGTTCAATTCCTGGAACATCGGTCTATTGCTGACGAAGATGTGTCAATGGCAGAGAAAGTGAGGAGAATTTTGTTCAGGTATCGAGCTACTCCACTTGCTTGTGGGAAGTCATCGGTAGAATTATACTTAAATCTTAACTCCGGATACGTCTTGATGCTTTCTTTCCAACCAAACATAAATCTTCACATAGCAAAGCCTTCTATTGGTGTGAGGTCGTCTTCATACGGGGGAGAGAGATACATATTAGCTTCTTTCAAAATAACTTTATTTGAGAATTCGACAAGGTACTAGAGAAGTTTGGAGGACGTCACTATATAGTAGTGCTGGATAAATCAAGGAGTACTCTGAAACGCCATATTGACCAACTACGCGCCATTCTTGTTCCAAAAAAGACTATTAAATTTAATCCATAAGTATTCGTGTATGAAGTTCCGGGATTACCCGCTCAGACCCAACAATTGCCCAACGATTCGGACGTATCAGACCTCTAGGTTCCGCCTCCTGACCCTCAGATTTCTCCTACAGACCTTCAAGCTCCGCCTTCAGTACCCCAGGAGGCACTCACTGATCCTTCCAACGTGATTTCTCTATAGCCAGTTCTACATCGGTTAAGTAGATCTACCAGACTGCCTGCACGTTTCCGCGATTATGTTATAGAGTAATCGCTGTGTCATGTATTGTGTAACTAACTGAAGAGCGCATTGCTCATTTATGTGGTGGGAGGGAGGACTGTTGATTCGATCTATTCATCTGCTTTTTGGCCTTTCACGTGATCTTATTGCCTAAAATGAATAAAAATAATTTTGAATTATAATTGTAAAACTAATTGTACTGAAATATTCTAGTCTGTTTAACATTTTAATTTATATTATATATCCCTATTTTCAGGTGAAAACGAAATTGTTGTGCCACTGCCAGTAAAGAATGTTAGAGGTGAATTGTACTCCGTGATGAATTTCAAAACCAAGAATGGTAATTTTCTGAAAACATTTTTTTAATTTTTGTATTATGACAAAGAAGTAATAGCATGTTTATTATATTAGCTTTACGAGTAATACTCTTCCAAATCTTTTCTGCTTGAATTTCATTACTTTAGAATAATTTTTCCTTCAGATTCGTTCTTCAGTTACCATCGTTTGTCTGTAAAATTTAATATTGGAATTTACTTTTAGGATATATTGTACGGTTAATGACATTTATTCCTGGTGCAATTCTTGTGGATACAGTACCGTCCTATGAGGGACTTCGTAATATTGGCGAATTTTTAGGAAGAGTAACACTATTAATCAAGGTAAGTTAATAACTTTAGTAATTATAAATTATAATCATATTTGAAGTTAATTTTTAAAACTCACTATTTACTTTGTTGTGAGTACAAACTAAAATACATTAGTCAGCAAAAGTTTTTTTTTTAGACTTATAGTAGACATTCAACAACAACAATTCTTTCTCACATATTTGTTTTATTTAAACATCTAATTAACTTAAATAGCACTCTTATCAATTTTCTAAAAAATATTTGCCTAACAATAAATAAATCTATTTTTATTACAAATTGAAGTATAAAGTAAGCATGTTAATGTAGCAAAAGTTTTCATACATAGGAAAATTATAAAGTAATTCATTTATTTATTTTATTCAAATTTTTTCAATTAATATTTTGAATGCATTCCTCTCTTTCTGAGTACCGTTTAGGTGTTGATTGGATCGACATTAAAGTCAATTGGGAGGGAATTTTCCCTAATTCTTCAAACAATTTAGTCTTATGACATTTTGCTGAAGTTTTTTTTTTATTTCCGAGCTGTGAAAAGAGAACACTAGAAATAAATGAGAACAATTAGGAAAATAAACTGGTCTAGATACGATTCGAAAAATATTAAAACAATATGGATTTAAAGCTAGAACGAATAGAAAAAGACTTCTTATAAATTTAATGAATATAAAAAATATTTAGGAAAGAATTATTGTTGATTGTTTTATCTACTATTAGTCCATGTATGAAAACATTTACTGGACACTGTATATAACACAGACGTAGGATCCTATTGTACAAAATTATTTTCATATTATAAAATATAATATAATTCACAAGCCATTTTTTTATATCATTAGTTGTTCCCAACATCATGATCCAATAAAAATAAACATCCTTTTGACCTCTCCACAACGACCACCGTTGTATGTCCCTCCAAACATGACGTAGGGGAGACCCGAGATGAATGTAGAGAATTGTACTTTCTTAGCAAAATAAAGGAGACAATAGGAATAGAGACTATAGATTTGACAAAAAAAAGTTTTAGGTATTATTAAAATACATAAATATAGACATTTGCATACATGCAAGAAAATATAAAATGTACAAAGAATTTTGTAAAAATTAAATGATGAATAAAATTAGCAGATGAATAACGATGCGTTACATATCATCAGCACCATGTTAAATTAACAAATGTGTAACGTTAAACAGGCTCACATTTGTTATTTTAACGTGGTGCCAACGATATCTATATTAATATAAAATATAAAATTAATATTTTCCTTTCTATTATGTAAAAAAGTTTTTAGTGACTGTCATATAAATAGAAATAGAAATAGAAAAATCATCTTTATTCTGGGACTAGGTCCCTTTAGAATAACATTATTGTTCATATAAATTAACCATAAATCTCGCCAAATGACTTATTACAATGAATAATAACAAAATACTAGTAATAAATTAAGTATAATAGCTCTTAGGATAAATTAACGAGAACAGTTGGCTAATAGGGGTTCAATACCACAATATTGGAGCTAAAACAATAGCATAATAATCACTAAATGAAATTAAAAAGGAACGCAAAATCAGTTTTATAGGCAAAGCATTGTAGTGATGGAAAAAAAAAATGATATACATATGTTCCCTAAGATATTTAAGTGATTATGCGTAAAGATTAGGAGAAGAAAAAATAAAATAAAGTGTATATATACACATAGCGAGGAGTGTGTTGAAGATAATTAGAAAATAAAATACATTTCAACGAAATACAATCTCATGAATAGAAAAATTACAAATTAAGAAAACAAATTTTATCTACTCACAATGCTTAGTGAGTAGTGATGAAAATTCACGTTCAACACAGAATAAACCAATAAAAAATAATAATAATAATAAGGCTTAGCTAACCCGAAGGTTCGATGCCGACACCACCAATCGCTTGTTACACACCTCCCTCCACCGTTCGCCGTCCAAACCCAGTCCCTTCAGATCGGCTTTAATGCAATCTTCCCACCTTCGTTTCGGTCTACCCCTCTACTATATACTAGTATCGCCATTTTTGCAGCTAACCATATATTTTGTTTTATCCACGTTTATTTCGAGTCCTAGTTCTTTACCGGCTTTCATTAACGTTGTCGTATTTAGTTTTATAGTTTCAACGTCTTCGCTTAACAGTACCAGATCATCAGCATAGCCCAGCACGGATGTTGTCCCGCCTAGATCCAACCCTTTCTCGGTTCGCATTACCTCCCTAATGGCATGTTCTAATGCCAAATTGAACAGGACAGGCGAAAGAGAATCCCCCTGTTTTAAGCCCGAACGAACATCAAATTTTTCGGACAAATTATTACCGATTCTAACTTTATTGAGTGTCTCCGTCAAGCACATCCTGACTAGATTTACTAGTTTTTTTGGAATTCCCTGCTCGATTAGAATATTATACAGTTTCTGGCGGTCAATAGAATCGTAAGCCTTTTTAAAATCTATATACAGCTGGTGAACAATACCGTTATACTCCAATTTTTTCTCTAATATTTGCCGTAAAGAAAATATTTGATCAATAGTCAAACGATTACGTCTAAATCCGCATTGGTAGTCTCCGATAATTTCCTCGGCGTATTCCGTGATTCGACTGGTTAAGATTAAAGTGAATATTTTATAACATACCGGAAGGAGTGAAATTCCTCGAAAGTTATTACAATCCGTCCTCGGACCCTTTTTGTGAATCGGAATAAGAATAGATTCTTTCCATTCTTCAGGTAATTTCTCGTTCACCCAGATCTTTTTAACCAACCGATGTATTTTAGAAACTCCAGCTTCCCCGCATGCCTTAATTAATTCAGTAGGAATATTATCGATTCCCGCTGCTTTATATGATTTTAATTTTCCGATAGCTACTTCAACTTCCTCTTTACTTGGTCCTTCTATTAACGGTTCAGCACTCTGGTACTCAGAAGGAGGACACAGATCATAATTTTCCGTATTTAAAATATTGTCAAAGTGGTTCTTAAACTTATTCAATATGTCAACCGGATCGGTCAGAATATTGTTATTATCATCCCTAATTCCAGACGTTACGGGCCCTACATATTTACGTGATCTGCTTATACCTTTGTACATGTCTCTTACGTTATTTTCGATTCTATTAGTTTCTATTTCAATTATTTTATTTTTAAGATACTCCCTTTTTTTATTTTTGAGCAATTTTGTCGTTTCGTTCTTCGAGATTCGGAAGTATTCCAGATTGTCTTCGCTAGGATTATTTAGAGCTTTTAATTTAGCGGCTTTTCTTTTTTCACACACGTTTAAGCAATCTTCAGCAAACCACGGTTTGTTATTCTTATTTTCCTTTTTTCCTAGACACGAGTTACCGACCGCTTTAATATTATCCCTGATCTCTACCCATAACTTGTCAATATCCTCGTGGTCCTCGTCAGGAAGCTCTAAAGCTTCAAACCTATTCTTAACATCTAGCTCGAATTGGTTTCTAATTGATGGATTTTTTAATTTTTCCAAATTAAAATTCTCAAAGTCGAAACGGTTTTCTTTTCTCTTTTTTATATTAAGTTTTTGTCGAAGTTTCGCGATTGCTAATTCATGATCCGACCCACATTCTGCTCCACGATAAGACCGTACATTAATTATACTGCTTTGCCAGCTGTGTTGTATCAAGACATGATCGATTTGATTTCGTGTTTGCGAATCCGGTGATGTCCAAGTATATTTATGAATATCCTTATGTTTAAACGTCGTACGTTTAATTATCAGGTTTTTCGAGATGGCAAAGTTTATCAGACGGATCCCATTATCATTACTATATTCATGCAAACTTTCTTTACCAATCGTCGGAATATAAACTTCTTCCCTTCCTACCTTTGCGTTCGCGTCACCTACAATTATTTTCATGTAGTTTCGCGGTAGTTTATCATAAACCCATTCGAGTTTATCGTAAAATTCACTTTTGACTTCATCGTCACTGTCTTCGGTCGGACAATGTATGTTTATTAATGTGATTTTAAACCAACGTCTCTGAAATGTAGCTACCGAAATTCTATCACTAAAGAATTGTACGTCCCTCAAAGCGGATAGTAATCTACTCCTAATTAGAAACCCGGTACCTAAACAATGATTCCCGCTTCCTCCGTACCAAATAGTGTACTTCCTTCCCTCATCGAGCCCTCCCCTGGTCAGCAAACCTCTTGCAGAGCCACGACATCCAAATTGTACCCATTTACCTCATTCGCGACCTATTTAAACCCCCCTGCTGTGTTTAAACTCCTTACGTTCCACGTACCAATATTTAAATCCCTATATTTCAACTTGCGCCATGAATCCCCTAAAGCAGTCCCCACCCGGAGACCCGAACGGGGGACTAGTTTACCTCCGGATAATGAGCGTTTTACCTTAGGGAGATCCATGACTTTTTTGTGGTGTTTGGTGAACTAAAGATATGTGAGTAGGGCGTTCACAATCCTACGTCACACCCTCCAGCAAGTCTGGTGGGCCCCTACCTCCAGCAAGTCTGGAGGTCCCCTCCCTCCAGCAAGTCTGGAGGGCCCCTCTCATTGTTGGTCAGCGAGTCCATCGGACTTAGCCGGGAGGAACTTCCAAGGAATTTCCACCGACCATCTCCACATCCGCCACCCGTGGGACGCTCCCCATACGCGGTAATGAGCCCGCGCGAGGCCAATAAAAAATAAGAGAAGAAAAAATAATGTCTAAAAAAAATTAAAACCTTATTACATAGTATGTATTTAACCAGCGTCTGATGGATTGTAAAGAGGAATTGTAATAAGGGGGTTTTAAAGGTGGATAAGGAATAGTGTTGCCCAAATGCGAGACCCAGACGAGTCTTGGTCCTGCAAACTCAGTTTGGCCATGGTCTTGGTCTTGCACAAGAATCTCGCAACAGTCTTACAGTACTGTATTTTGTAGATAGAAGAAACCTAACTAAGCCTGAATGAAAAATTAGAGGAATTAAATGCAAAACTATATTGGTTATACCAATTATTTACATATAGTAACTAAGATTATCG